CACAACAAAACTCATATAATCTGCATTTAAGTCACCTTCAAAAAGCAAAATGCTCAAACTAAATAACATATATTTTATTAGATCTAACAAACAAATCCATACTATGTAAATTAAAATAACTACATGAATCCAACAAACACATCATGATGTTTATAGTAAGTATAACCTCTCCCAAAAATATTTTAATATATTCATATACACAATCTAACATGCTGAGATGTTGGTTCCTTCTACATAAAAATAAAGTCAGATTTCTATTAAAATATAATCGAATATAATTAAGTTTTAAATAATTGCAAATGATTAATTTATAATTTTTTATTTTTCTTCAAGGCATACTTATTCAATTTTATTTTATTTAAAATAAATAGTATTGTATAGGCCGGCCTGTAGGCTTATAGGTCAGGCCTTGTGAAAGTGGACTTACGGCCTTTTTATTAAACAAGCTTTTTCAAGGCCCAAGTCCGGCCTATTTTACGAAATACACTAGGTCAGGTCTGGCCTGACGTAAGCCGAGCCGTAGGCCCCTGTAGGCTGGCCCGGCCCAGTTTCACCCCATAGTTAGGGTGTTAATGATAGGGTAAGAATTTGTTATTTTTTATTTTGAGTTAGGAAACAAAGAAGTTATTAAATAATTATCTCACCTAAAGGGTCAAATGCAAGGGTTTATTGGGTTTGAAGGATGATGCTTACATTAAGCCAAATAATTAAATGATATTAATTAGAGATTAATATGTAAATAGAGAGTTAATTAGATGAAAAGGTCAAATTTTGAGTTAAGACATTTTTCGGGATAAAAATACAAATATTAAAAAATTTGGTGTAAGTGTGCAATTGTGCAAGAATTGGTAAGACCCTAAAATAAAGTGAGTGTGATATACCTTATCTAGATCCAATTAATCCAAAAATCATAAGTTAAATTATCTAAGTGAATGAGTGCGGAGAGTCAGGAGGTAAGAAGGGCAAAATGATTTTTTTTACCCAATTAGATATTTGTCTTAGTCAAAAAGTCAAGACCATACACTCTCTCTCCTCACTTTCACTAAACACATTGTCCTTCCTCCTCCTCACTCTATTTCTACAAAAAAGAAGAAAACACTCTCATGTTCTTATCTCCTTCCCACTTCATCCAAGACTCAAGAGAATTCATCATCCTCTCTTCTTTTCTTCACTCACCTCCAACATGGAACCTTATAGGAACTAAGGAATTGAAGAAATCATTCCTTTGTGAACCTTTTTGTTCCACTTTAAGGAGACAAGGAGGAGGATTCCTTCATTGTTGGAAGCTTAAGGCTTCATCCCTTTCGTGCTTTAAGTAGTGGAGGTAAGGACCTATGACTTACTTTGGTTTCTTGAGGATTTTATGATTTAAGGTTTCATGAAAATTTTGGGGGTTTTCTACTTGTGAGAGTGTTACGATGAAATTGATATTGGAATCATGTGTATTTGGTGTAGGTGTGTTGAACCTAGTGGTGAATTATTGATATTGAGTTAGGGTTTCATTGTTGTGTTTTCAAGGATTTGGAGTAAGTACCAATTCATTGTGTGTTGATGAATTGAGATATAAACTTGATGAATGCATGTGTGAAATGTGTTATTGATTAGGTTGATTGCTTATAATAGGTGCTAGTTGGTGACCTTGAATAATTAGCACTTGGATTGGAGCAAAAGAAGAGTTTGAAAGTAATCTTAGGAGAGATAAATTCTTGAATCTTGGGATTAGTCTCACTTAGTGTTCCACCACACTCATTGGGAGTGTTGGTTAATTGCTTGGTTGATTGTTAGAGTTATGATATAGTTGCATTCATGTAGACTTGGTGCGCAATTGGGTGTTTAATATAATATGATTTAATGTGTTAGTCATTATATTGAATTGATGGATTAGGTTCATTGATCAATAGAATAGTGTGAACTTCCCTTTCGGGATGTTTCCTAAGAGGTATGGCTCTTGTAAGCTCTACACGGACACTCACTTTGAGGTACGACTCATTATAGTGGTCCCAGTGCATTGGGCGCACAAGTGTAGTCAATTCACTATTGCTTTTTTATTTATGTGATGATATTATGCCATATGCTTTGACCTTTCGTGCAAGAAAGTGAACTCAATGGTGGAGTGATCTTTCAAGGACCCTGAGATTATTATCTCACCCCATTTGGAGATTATGTTTCAGGTTCACCAGGGGAAAGAACTGATAGTTCTCAGGGGAAAAAACCAATGTAGTGCATGAGGCTTTCCCTTTTTGAAATTGGCTTATTTTGGTGGTAATAGGATGCAGGGACCATTTTGATATATATATATATATATATATATATATATATATATATATATAGGGCTTATCATTTCTCAAGCTGCCGGAGATAAAGTTATCTCCGGCTACTAAATCATAATCGTACAAAGATGGATCAATGGTGATAAAGGAAGAGAGAAAAAAAAGGGAATCATAACCATTCAAAGGTGAATCAATACATATAAGGAAATAAATAATCAAAACGACGTAGTTTTGGGGTGGCCGGAGATAAATTTATCTAAAGTAGCTTGAGAAATATTTTTCCCATATATATATATATATATATATATATGGTATAACTTGTATATTTTAGAATGAGAAGCCAATTGTAGTAAGGCATTAATGTTTTGATTATATTTTGTTAAAATCATTGCTTGTAATGAAATTGAGGGCTTAAAGCCAAGAATGTTAGCGGTACATTGATTATCATGATAATCCTTTAAAAGATCATTTGGAATTGGTACACAATCATTGATTATGTTTAGCTTTGATATCATGGTTTACTATGAGTAAGGTTGGAGTTATACTCTTGAATGGGGTCTAGGATCCAATTGGGAACCTTAGACTTGAATTTGAGAATTTCTTGTAGCTTTGGTGCCTCCCGCGCCAGGTTGGCACCTCTAGCATGGAGGAGCAGAAGCAACCTTTGAGGTTGGCGCCTCCAGCGCCAGGTTAGTACCCCCAGCGTGGAGGAGTAGAGGGAACCGTTTACACTGATGCTCTTAGTGCTAGGTTGGTGTCTCCGGGGCTAAAACATAGTGGAGTTCACTATTTTTCTTACTTTCTCTTAAGCTTACTAGATTTTTTCAATGGAAAAAAAACCTATAAAACATGTTTCTCCTCAGTAATCTATTATTTCACAATCTTACACATCACGAGGTTATCTTAATTTTAAGTAAGTAATTAAAGATTAATTCTAACTGCACTTAATATCATAAATTAAGTTAATACATCGGGTGCACTGTGTGTTACAATGGTACTATGTTAAACAATCATATCAACTAAAAGTTTTGAAGTGAAGATCACTTAAATAATTTTATATTAGATTTATGGGGTTTGATTTTCTCATGTTAAATGAGAATTCAATTCTCATGTTGTAGAGATAAAAAGCATATGGGACCCAGGTGTTAGAAAAAAATTATATGTAGGATCCATGTCAGCACAGAAATCGAAGGGTGTGTAGGAAAATTTGAATTCTCATGTTAAATGAGAATTATAAAGCCCTAGATTTATATAACATAACTAGTTTTATTGAACATAAATTTTTAATCATTTATATTTTCCAAGTTAAAAATAAAGGAAAAATATTTTTGAGAATATTATCATTCATTAAATTATTTCCTCTTTTATTATATATTCGAGTAATGTCATATTTTTAAAAAATCATCTTAATATAATCCTCTTGATTACTTAAAAAAATGAAAAGATAGTTCATATTTTTTTTTTTAAAATCACTAAATCGACATGCCTTTTTCTCTCTGTAATTAAATATTATTATTTACGCATCAGGAGAATTTAAAAGTTTTTCTTTTTTAATAAGTGAAGAGGGCTTACCTAGAGGGAAAAAAAAATTATATTAGAGAAAGGTAGTAGAACCCAAATCATGATTAACGTGAACGAAGTTCGGTCAATATTGTTATCAAAAAAAAAAAAAAGTTCGGTCAATATCCATTGTCATTGCAAGACAAGAGTCACACGTAATTGGTTCATTGATGATGGGAGTTTATTTGAGAGGATACATGGCAATTTGGGAGCAACTTGCGGGCAATGAATTCAAATCTAGTGTTACTGTTACTTGGACTTTTTAAAAAAATAAAAAGAGGAATTATACTATTTTTATTTACAAATTTTTATAATTATATTTTAATGATTAATTTTCATCAATTAACGATTATTTTTTTTTATAAATTAAATTTATCAATTAATTATTAATTCATAATAAATAATGAGTTTGGTGTTTGTCATGTTAATTGACTTAAGTCATGTCATTTTAAGAGAGAGATAGATACAAAAAAATGAAAAATCATGGGAGAGAGAAAGTGGATGATTTTTTTTAATTTAAAATTTAAATAAATTTGTTTTTCTGTGTCTGTCGTCTCTCTCTTAAAAGGACAGAGTGTTTTGTCATTTAAAATGACAAACACTCTTTTCATAAATAATAATCATTAGTTGACAAAAATCAATAATTATATCAGTTTATAAAAAAAATAGATTATAAGGATAATCTTTCTTAAAAAAAAAATATAAAAAAATAAGGTTATATTTCGTTTTCAACATATTTTGTAGGTTGAATTATCGAGGCGGCTATTGGTTTGGAGTTTGGATTCAAATTAATAAGAAGATGCAGAAGAAAGATCCCCGAAACCCATCATCATCATCTTCTTTAGGACTCTTTTATACAAATTCAAATCATACTTTGGTCAGCGCCAACACTCTCAATTCAAAGTCTTGAGTCCATTCTGGAGGGAGGTTCTCCTACTTCCTTTCCTCTTTTTTACTTATAACCTTCTCAACTCTCACATTCTCATTCAAAAGCCAAACCCAACTTCCTCTTCTCTTCCATTCTCAAATTCCCTCATTTTCATTTCTTTGTTTTCTTTGTTTTCATTTGCTTTATCCAAGGTTGTTTCCTGTCAAGATTCGGAGTGACTTTGCATCTGGGTTTTGCTTCGTTTTGTGAAATTCTGAAATTTGTAGCCCCAAAGCTTTGCCATGAGTGACTCGTCGGTGCCAAGTGACAACTTGGGCGAGTCCCCAGCCGTTGATATAACCGGCAAGATTATGGTTGTGGTTATAATAATCTTATTCATGGTTGTTGTAATTTCTATGTTCTTTCATCTCTATGCTAAAAGGTTCTGGTGGAGTATTGGAGAGACCACTGCTTTCGGATCTCGGAGTCGGAGCCGCAACGGCCGCCGTTTTGTCTTTGCCTCTGGTCAAGACGGTGCTTTTCGAACCGGGCTTGATCCTTCTGTCCTCAGGTCCCTTCCCGTATTGTTATTCCAATCCCAAGACTTCAAGGATGGTTTAGAATGTGCAGTTTGCCTCTCTGAGCTTGTTCAAGGAGAAAAGGCTAGACTTTTACCCGAATGCAATCATGGGTTTCACGCAGATTGCATTGATATGTGGTTCCAATCCCATTCTACCTGCCCTCTTTGCAGGAAACCAGTTGCCTCTGAATCAGTTATTGGTTCAAATGATGAACAAAATGTCTCACGGAATAATGGATCAACAGATGCAGAAAATTCAGCTTACGTTAGTGGCTTAGAATCTTCAACTTTTCCCACAAATGTGTTGATTTGGGGGAACCAGACCCAAATAAGTTCTACTGTTGCTTCTTTGGAAGAAAGTACCTCTCGGCCACCTTGCTCCTCATCCTCCTCAGGGGATAGTAGCAGTAATAATAAACGTCATGGAATGTTGGTGATTGATATACCAACGGACATCACTTCATCCTCTTTGTCGCCCTCTTCAAGCAGGTTTGCTGAAGATGACCTGAAATCGCCTATGACAGGGAGACTGAGGGCATTGAAGAGGCTTTTAAGCAGGGACAACAAGTTAAATCCATGGAGTCCCAATTCTATAGATGTGGAACAAGCTGGGGGAGGACAGAGTTAGGAATTTGCCAATGCTGTTCATTTTTTTTTTATATTTTTTTTTGAGTACATATGCCCACATGGAGCAGCAACTTGTGATTGAGAATTGTAGAAAGAATTCAAAGTATCTATGTTTGAAAGAGCACCATTGAGGTGTCTCTTGAGGGGTCAGAGTTTCTCTTTCATATATGGTTTTGCTATTGCCCTTCCAATACTTGTCCAGATAATGGCTAAGGAGAATAATTGTTTCAAGTGTCTATATTGTATAAATTATAGGTTTTGTTGTAGTAATAGACTAGAATAACCAATTTTCATTTATTGAATATGAATTTTATTATATTATTTTAATTTTGATCTTTATTTGCAATTAGCCTGACCCGATAATATTAATTAATGGTGAAGTGAAAAGGATACAATATGGGATCGAATAGTCTCACCACTGTATGCCAGCACCAGCACTAATCTGCAGAGAGTTTTAATGAAATTACTCAGTAATTAAGAGGTCATGTTCCGATGATTGTTATTATCAGTATTATGTATCTGAGAAATCCTTGCTAGTCATTCTAACTGTCTGTACATAGCACTTGTTGTTTTCCATTTCTAGTTGAGATGCATTATTAATAATGCAATTCCTCGCATGGGAAGCGGAGGCCATGCTGTTGTTGGATTGATAACAAGAAATAAATGAAGCTGTCTATATGCAAGGTTCTGATTGTATGAACAGAATTTGATTAAGACAAAAAAGACGGTTAATCTTTCTTAGCATCAAGAGTAGGCGAAAAAGAGGGAGAGAATAGTACAAAAGGCTTTCTTATATTAATATTGGGGTCATTCATTGGCTATGTGACCTTTATGTACTGATTGAAAAATCTTTTGGAGAATATTCTTGTTTTTTTCTTTAAAAAAAAATTAAAAATTAGGAAACAATGAAGCATTTTGTTATCAATATGGACTCAATTCGGCTGATAATATAATGGTTATGCTTATGCCTATGAGGTATAAGCCAGGTCTTTTGTCTAGTTTTCCTTTCCCTTAATTAAAGGAATCCACGCCGAATAAAGTCTTGACACATTCGGCACAAATACAACCTTTTTCCTCAGCATGCTCTGTTTTCTAGACATCCCAACTCCCAACATGTTTACATACTCCTCCCCTTACTTTAGCACTTTAGTTGCTCATCCTTAGCAAGTCCAATTTTGAGGCTAGTAGTGGCACCTTCCAATATTATTTGAAGACGTGCTTTTTCGATTTTGTCAGAGAATAATATAAACAATTAAAAAAGTCTTCACCTAACCTCGTAGATTTTGAAAATTTTCCGTTTGTGGCTAGTTCATGGGTTCTCCAGCATCACAACTCACAAGGTCGCTTTAAGGGTGGTTTGTCCGTCTTACATTGAGCCCATTCCTAAGTGAAGGGTAGGTAACCGGACATGATTTTTATATCCTTGGCGCCACATTGGTGTCTTTCGCTCCCCCAAATATATGATGCTTCTTTTTCGCCTACATGCTAGAATAGCTTTTTTCAATGATGTCTGGGAGGAGATCATTCATGAAATGAATAACAAATGAAAACTCAAAGCAAAAGAAAAATTATAGTAGAGATAGCACAAGAACAGTTCCAGAAATTGGGCAGGGAGAAATCATATATGACAAACCGTGTTATATAATTTTTTATTACTATTATTATGGCTTACATATTACAATGGATCGAGACTGACGAAACAACATCTTTAACTAAAATATCTATATATCGAGAGCCTTTTTGATACTGCCGAAATAATACCACCATGATTTCAAGTTTTGTAGGAGCGAGTATAGGGGTGTTCATCAACCGTTCCAAACCGATTCAAATTGCGGTGACCGAACCGAAAAATAGGAAACCGAATAAATCGAAAATCAAAAAATCGAAAACCGAAAAAAACCCGCAAATTTTAATATGATTGGATCGGTTTTTGGATGAGTTGATCAAAACCGATCCAATATATTAATTCCCCTTTACCTACTTAGGTCTTTCCCTAATCATAGGTTGAAAATTTCTAAACCCAATACCCATTAACCCATCAACTAAACTCAAGAAAAATTTTAATCACATCTCATCAACAAAATTTTATCTTTGTAGAGCTTCATATGTCAAAAAAGAAAAAACTATATTATAGTTTACTAATGCTTTTGTATTTTAAAAAATAATAATTACAAAGCCAATATATACAAAAGATGTTATTTGAACAATAATCATGAAATAAATTTTAGGATTTTAAAAAAATTGAAAACCGATCCAATCCAAACTGAAAAAAATTGGATCGGATCGGATTTGAAAAAAAAATCCAAACCGAATGGATGATTATATGATCAAACCGAAGGGATTGTATCGGATAATTTTTGCTTTCAAAACCGATCCAATCCAGACCGCGAACTTATGCTTTGAAAATTAAAAATTAAACCCAAAAAAATAGATGCTAGCCTAGAATGAGGGTTCAACAAAGCAATCAGGACTAAGAGGAGCCATTCTCAAATCTTGTTTTCTTAGATAAAATCCAAGAGCGTGCCAATACAATCCATGATAAAATTCAAAACATAAATTATTTCATCTAACAAAGGGCTGATCGATTAAATTTTCCAGCAGAAAATGAAGGCTTTTCCTATGAAGCTCGTGTCAGCAGAATGAATTTGCAACGCTGATAGTTGCAGGCACATTCAAGTGACCACATAAAGGGGGCCATAGTTATGCACAGGACGAGGGCTTGTTTGTTGGTGAAGAGACATATATGGAATCTCACACTCCTCTCTCTTTGTGGATTTGAACAGACTTGTGAGAGGCCCAGAAGTTGAACCCCGGTGCTTCACATCAATACCTTCGGCCGAGTTATATATTGGACCAGAAACGTGACCCTTCCTCTGCCCTGAAACCTTTGATTTTGAATTGTTGGTGGGTTCCCCTCGTAGCTTGCTTTTCTTGTTCTTGTCACCTTTCCACCATGAAATCAAAGAACTTTTCCATGATTTTTTTACCTTTTTCTCTTTCTTCGATCCTGTTATACCAGATTCTTCTGGGTGCACTGATGAACTTGTCCGTTTTGCTTCATTTACATGGCTCTTTGCTTCCTCCAGGTACTAATCAAAGCAAAGAATCAGATAACTCACGCGATCAAAATTCAAATGCAAGTGAAGAAAACAAGTCAAATACAACACTCTAGTGCAGAATTTTGGAGCTGGTTCTATGATTCTATCACTTGAAGAAAACAAGTCAAATACGAACAATCAAACAGTTAATACCTGGGAAAAGTCCTCACGCAGATCAAATCCATAGGCTTCATAATAACTAGCCTGATATTGTTGATGCAATTGGGATTTCATCATCATAAACTTGAACAACACTGAAATTGCCAACCACAACAAGGGCTCAAGAGAAATTGAAACTTGATATCAGGCTGACAAGTGGTGCTCAATCTAAGCAAAAGAATATTTCAGTGTAAAACACAAAACTGGCATTTTGCATTTTAATAGAGAGCGAGAGAGAAAAACAGGTTAAACGAGGAAGGAAGAACGGAAAATAGTAACTTGTAACCTTAACAGCAAATCATTCCACAAAAGGTAATGATCAATAACTCCTCATAAAGATATTACAATCACAATGCCAGTTATGGAGATAACGAGGTATGGTATAGTTGTAGCCTTTTCATTTACATTATAGCATATATTAAGCAAGAATTGGCGTTACTCGCATTGGACGGTTAATTACGAATTAATGTAGGATTCGATTTTCTCATATATCATGCTCCATCAAATCAAGAGTCAGCACAAGATTAAACGGCTAGGCTAAGGCTAATAAATAATATCCAATTAGAGAATGAAAAAATGCACAATCAAATCCAATCCAATCCTATAAAATTAACTAACAAATCAGGACAGAATTCAATTGAAAATGAACCAACCAATTATTCTTAAGGTAATCAATCAGATTCGTGTATTTTTAAGAAAAATCCTAATATTCTTAAGAAGATTGGGAAAAATAATTATAAAATAACAATTATCTTTTCTCCACCGAGACCTTATTTAATCCACCACTTCATTTTTCCTTTTTTTCATTTTGAATTAAAAAATGTTTACCTTTGCCCGTCATTTTAAGTAAGGGTGTTCATCAACCGATCCAAACCGATTAAAATCGCGGTGACCGAACCGTAAAACTAATAACCGAATAAACCGAAAACCGAAAAATCAAAAACCGAAAAAAAAATCACAAATTTTAATTGGATTGGATCAGTTTTTGGATGGGTTGATGAAAATCGATCCAATATATTAATTCTCCTCTATCTACTTGGGTCTTTTCCTAATCATAGCCTAAAAATTTCTAAACCCGAGACCCATTAACCCATCAACTAAACCCAACAAGTCTCATCAATAAAATTTTATCTTTCGTAGAGCTTCATATCTTATTGCAAAAAAAAAAATTATATTATAGTTTACTAATGTTTTTGTATTTCAATTTTTTTTTTACAAAGCCAATATATACAAAAGATGTTATTTGCACAATAATCATGCAATAAATTTTAGGATTTTCAAAAAATCGAAAACCGATCCAATCCAAACCGAAAAAAATTGGATTGGATCGGATCGGATTTGAAAAAAAATCCAAACCGAATTGATGATTATATGATCAAACCGAAGAGATTGGATCGGATGATTTTTGCTTTCAAAACCGATCCAATCCAGAACGCGAAGATCCCTAATTTTAAGTAAGTTCTCTAGTGATCTGCAGATCTAAATTAATACTATCACATGTATCCAAATAAATAGTGATAATTTAGTTAAAAGAAGGAAGAGATTCTTGCAGAAACGGTGCAATGGAATCGAACAGTAACCGGGGACGTATGTTACAGAAATTATTTTATTCTTTTTTTTTTTAATACAATTTTTTTTTATTTTTTTTAGTACAGATACAAAAATTATTTTATTCTTGAGAAACAAGAACCTCGTTGAAATTTTAATGGGGCCTATATAATTAATAGGACCCACTTAATTTGGAAGATTTTTTTTTTTTTTGGATACATAATTTGGAAGATTATGATTTCTCTGCCTATTAATTCATGTGTTTGAATTTTTTAGGGGAAAAAAGTCGGTAGTCAAAAGTTTCCTTTTTGATTAGCAACAATAAAAATTAATTTAGTTTATTTTAAATTTGGAGATTTTGTCATTTTGATATTGGGAAGGATCGGATATTGATATAAAAAAAAAAAACGTTCAAGCTATAATTAGGCCTTAATTATAATTATTGAGTTACGTGCAAATATTTAACAAGTTGTAAATAACTTTCTATTAATTACAACATTGTTTCCAATTTTCTCCAGATTTACAATACACACGAATCATCAGAAAGGCATTAGAAAAAGTCCAACTCACAGAAAATAGATAAACAAACCCACGTCCTCCTTACGTGCCAAACCAAAAGGCACATCTCTTTGTATTATTTTTGTGCAACATTTGGAAGCAGTACTTGTTACATGCAACGCTTCTTCATCTGGCTAAGACTACGCCATGTATTACTCAGAATTTTTTAAATTTTTATTTTATTTTTAGTCTTTTTTAAATTTTTAAGTGGTCTTATTTTTTTATCTTTTATTTATTTATTTTTATTTAAACATATTTGATCTTTTTTTCTATTTTATTTTCTTTTTGCTTTTAATTTTTTATGTAAGTGTTGTAAGTTTTCAAGATATTTGGTCTTTTTTTTTTCCTTCTAAAATAAGTATATTACTTTATTTTTTTACTTTTTGTTTGGATGAAAAAAAAGTACAGGGGATAAGTGATTTAAAAAAAAAAAACAGAGGGTAAGTGATTTAAGGGGGCGTTTGGTACCGGATTTCTCAAAATTTTGCTGGGCATCTGAAAGTGGATAAGTTGATTCTCCACGTTTGGTACAGGTGATCTAAAAATTTGCATACCTAAGTGATTTGCCTGGCGATTCAGTTTTGTATGCAAAATTGGATCAAAATCACGGTGCTGAAATCCTATTGCGATAGTGGTATTCGACCGATAACCAGGCAAGTGAAAACCATGAAAACAGGTGGTGCCAAAACTACCCTTGGTTAGCGCCAAACTGAGTCTCCTCCCAGCAAATCCACTTTTGGACATCACGAAGAAGCTCGTTTGAAGATGTAAAAACGACAGGTGATCTGATTTTTGCATGCTTATCTACTCAAAGATCTACTTGCGTTTGATATTTTTTATTTCAGACAAATCATGGAGAAAAAGAAACACATCCGACAAGCGCGGGTAATGGAACCAGAACACCGCCGTGAACAGAGGCAAGGCTAAACAGAGGCAAGCGTGGGTAAATACAGCTCTCTCGCGCGCTTTCTCTCTCTCTCTCTCTCTCTCTCTCTCTCTATCTATCTCTCTATCTTCGATCTGAGTCTTGGTTGATTGCAAGGGATGGCGGGAAAGCAATGAAAACCAGAGGTTTTCGAGAAGGGAAAAGTCACCCCTACACAGATCGCATTCATCTAATCCAGGTACAATCCTTTGCTCCCACCCAAGTTTATTTTTCTTAATATATATGCAGGTACTGTGTTTGATTATTATTCTTCTGGGATAAATTTACTAGTTATCTGATGCAGAAATTTACAAGTTTACTGATTAATCAATACTCAAATCCCGGTGATAATTAGTTTTAATTTATTTCATTTCTCCATATTATGTCATAAACATGAAACAAATAAAGACAACGAATAATATTTGTATGCTAGTCATGTTTAATTTGGTGTTTTCATTTCTGAATTATTAATCGAAAGTTAAAGAATACATTTGTTAGTTAGAGGGTTTATTTGGGGTTTCTTAACAGATTTTGGTTCTGAAGAGTAATGGTGACTTATATGATAGTGTGTGGCGCGGGGACAAGACATAGTAGAATGGCATGGAACTATTCTGTTTTGTTTTTCTTGGTTTCATCTCTTTTAGTGGACGAACTTATATGTTATGTTTTGTCTTGTTCTAACTTGTATACCAAACACTACCGTATATTATCTACAATCAAGGAGACTGTATAACTCTGACTGACTTGGCTATGTTGTATAATGTATTCAGAAATCATGTTTATTTAGTCATTATATTATTTTGGTCTTATCTTTGCCATGTGTTAGCCAGAAATAAAGCATAATCCATAGTATGTTGTCAAGAATGATTATCACATTATATTAGCTGAAATGTTTGCCAGAAATAAAAATAGGTTGATCACATTATTTTTTATTTATCCTTTTTCAACGTTCTTTACAGATTCTAATAAAAATAGGCTTGCAATGGATGTTATTAACCGCTTAATAGCGCATTGTTGTTGGCTGAATATACATACTGTCGCGCTGCATGGAGTTGTCTTCGAAATAAGGGTTGCTGATGGATATGGTGCACGTTGGACAGAAGATGGAAGTAAGGTGTGTGGAGAACCACTGCATTCTGGTATTTATCCGCTTCCATTATAGTTTTATACATGGTATGCTGTTCTCGTGGCATAACTTGAAATATGACATTATGCTCAAAATCAAGCATTTGATGTACTGTTGGACTTCCATTAGATCATCCAACTATTTAATGACTAGGAATAAGATTTCAACATACAGGATTCATTGTTCTTTAAACTTGGTGACAAATAGAGCTTTCTATTCAAATGTTTATATGGTGCTCTTAAAAGCCATATTGTGTAATCTGTTTTAAGGTTTCAAGTATGGAAAGCATCTTCTTTGAAAGCCATATTTCTTGTTTACTTGTAAAGTTTGTAGTAACTCCAAGACAGGCTTATCATCCTTTAGTAGGATTCAACTCTGTACAAAAATTGTTTTGACAAAGCATATTAAAAGCCATAGCATGTCACCATATCCTTTTTTTGTTCATTATGTCATAGTGAGACAACCATGTGCAATAATCAGAACGCTTGATTTAAATGGTTGCTGCCCAAGTGCATGGTAAGCACCTTCACTAGTCCTTAGCTAGTCTTGGGCTCAAGAGGTTAGTTTTCACTGTTTTTTTTAGCCATGAGTAATTTATTAGACTAACCACATATACATACAGATTGAGACACACTAACCATATTGTGTGTCTTCAAGTTTCTCATAGTACTTGTTACCAAATTTATCAACACCAACAAGCCTAGCCCCAATATTGTGGATCTTGGTTTGCCTGCATAAATTCAGAAAATAATTAGACTGGAAGGGGAGAAATACTGGTATCAAAGGGAGTTCAAATCTCACAGTAAAATACAAATAAACAGTAGAGATATATCACTACATAAAAGTTGTGCCCTTCACCAACTTTACAGAAACTTGATCTCTATTTACAATGGAACAAGAGAGGATGTTTGTGGGAGAAATTTGAAATTTGTGAAAGTTATAAATGTTTTGTAAATGACAACGTTGAATCCAATATAAAAGTTATAAATTTGTGAAAGTTATAGAAGCAATTTGTGCTTTAGTCTCTCACTCTTGGTGCATCATGTTTTGACTATATTAGGCAGATTTTAACCCGTATTGTCTGTGATTTAAGCATTTTATGACAACTTGCTTCTCTTGGAATACTCTTGTTTCATAATTTAAAACTGGTTTACCTGCATAGCATAATTTCTAATTCTAATTCTAGCAAGCTTTGAAATGTGACTACTAGGTTAGTGTGGTATTCTCTTAACTAAACTTATATTGACAACTTTTTTAAATGCTCAAGTAACTCTAATTGAGATAAGTAGTTCTGATTCTTTTGGGCTTTGATTTTCTATTTTTTTCATTTTTATTTTTTTGGGTAGGTGTTTGAGGGAAAAGGAAGCAGTCTACTTATTAAGTGATGGCAGAAATATCCTTTTCATATTTTTGATCATGTTTGGTTCAGTCTATCAGTGAGTAATTGTTAAGATGCACTTCTATTAGTTTCCATAACAAACTTTAAATTGACCGAAGGAGTATGTTGTTCTGCAGGGGGCTATTATGGGCCCATTGATAACTACAGTTATCATTGCTCTGAAGGATTTGTGTGCTGAATTTGTTATCGAAGAACCTAAGGACAAGGCCAAGGCCAAGGCCAAGCAGAAAGTTAGCTAAGATGATTCTCGTGTCTACAAAAGAATTTTGTTGCAGTTGAAGTTTGCTACAAGTGTGCATTGCTCTAGTATGCCTTTGTTAGTGGAGGTTGCCTTCAGATTTGTGATATGCTCATAATTATTTGTTTTCAGAATCGGACCTTTTTTTTCCATTTCAGGGGTCATCAAATATTTTCACTTGCTGGCAGTGTTTGATAATTGTACACTTACATCTGTAATTTATTCTTGTAACTATTTTTGTTATTCATTGTATAAAAGAAAGAAAAACTCATGTAAGCTTGTAGGAAATATATTATTTTCTTCATTTTTCTTGGATTTAGCAATTAAGATGAGTTTCACTAGCATTGCTATTTTCGGAGTGAACAAAGTACATAATTTTGTACATCCGTGTGTTTTATATTCTGCACCTAATAATATCCCAAATCTTTCTCTATTCGTAATCAACATTAATTTAACACAAAAATATCTGAAAACTAGGTTATCGGGTATACACACTGGTTCATTTCAACAAGCCAGTGCAATGGGTGCACCTGATAACTGCCACCATCATGATTAAAAAAGGATACTTTCGTAACTTCAATTACTTTCCCATCAATATGAAATATTCAACCAAACACTTCATTCTGTTATTTCACTTAATTTTCCCAGTAATATTTTACTCAACCAAACAACTTTTTTTACATTTTCCTACCAAACTCACTTTCCAACCATTTTCCTATCAATTACATTTCCCTAGTATTCAAAAAATTTCTCCTCAACCAAACGCCCAAGCAAAACTACAAGGGGGCTTTTAAATTTTTTCCTTAAAAAGTTGTTAAAAGAATATGGGCTTTTTAAATATACATTATAGAATATTTGTGTCACATGATCCTATTATATTAAAAAATTCAAATATCTGCGTAAGTAGTTGTGATACGTCCAATGATAAATATTGTTGATAATCTGCTAAAGCCCTTGATATATGGTTTGAAAATAATATCAAAGAGCATGAACGAATATCTCGTAAAGTTCCACATCTATGTATATATAATTGGGACAGAAAAGGCCAATTTGATTCAATCAACTATGATTGATAATCTATTAAACTAAAACGCCTCAATCAAATCAGGTGTAATATTGCAGTTACCCACCCACATCAGCATCATTCATAAAAACACTTTGAGAATAGAAGAAGCAATGCAACTGTGAGTACTGTTGTCTTCATGGCCAAGCTGGAAAGATCTCTGAAACAGTCACTCAAACTTTGGAGGGAAACATATTAAATTGACACAAATATAGGAAAGATATTCTTTCATCTGTTCTTTTGTTCCCTTTTCATATAAATAAGGAAAAAGCTTGACACTCACCAACTTCGCTCAGTCTCACACTTTGTACATAGCGTTCATCAGATTCCTGATGTCATCGTATGATTATTATTCAATACCAACAATTTTGTCTTCTCCCGGAAAGTTAAAAGATTTAGTAAAATCACGTGCCTAATCACATGTCCTTTCTGAAGCTTCTGTCTCCATTTTCCACCAAATCCAAAATCCAAGATGATGCAGTAGTCAAAAGTTGAGCACATGATCTCACATGAACCCAACTGCACCAGATCCCAAAATTAAATTTTTAGCATTCCAGACAGTAATAAAGAATGAATCAATCAACACTAATACAATTCAGAATTCACCCTCATAACATGGTGTTATTAGCCTTAACACTTGACTCACAATGCAATAACTATAAGCTTCAGAACCTTAATAACCAAGATCCTCCACACTACCATGAAGAGCTGGTCCAAAGCGCTGGCTGCTCTTGCTCTGACACTGTCACTGTTATTATCAACCTGGTCTTCTAGAGCCAAAGCTGAGGTTCACCCATCCATGAATGTGCACTCTTCGCCATTAAGCAAGACTTCATCTTCTCATCAAGCTCTTAAAGATTTGCGCGCTCATAGGAAGAATCCTTCTAAGCAGGTGGATTCGAGTTTCCGAAGGATACCTCCAACCAAATCAAATCCCATACAAAACAAGTAACTCTAGTCAACAGTTTCTAGCCTTTCCATTATATGCAGCTACCCTATGATTGACAGAAAAATCATATTTCTATCGCAGGTTCAATCCTCCAACATATGGTTGAAAGACAGAACAAACAATAAAGCAAAATCGAAACTGCCCGTTTCTTTTCTTTTCTTATTTCTTTCATTTCGTTTTTATTGCTCCTTCTAAACAAACAGAACAACTGTTAGTGTACACTGGTGTTTCACCCTCCAACAGCCAAGTGCCAATGATTATATGTATTGCAATTTACATTGTATTTTACATTTTTGCTAACCAACCGTTGTTGAGTTCTCTGATATACTTAAATCTATTATAACGTTTGTATTCTAGAAAAGGGTAATGATCTCCATATTTGTCGCAAATTCATATACATCCAGCAGAACACAAATAATATATTGGGATGAAGGGGAAGGAAGGGCGGAGGAGATTCCTTGGAGGAAAAACATTTCATATTTTGCAGTAACTACCTTTCTCGCTGAATGTGATTACTCTGTCCAGCTACATATTCATGCGACATGGTAAATGATACAAAATTACTAACAAACAGGAAATCATTCCAATCTACATGCGTAGAGTCTTTTGGGTCCTTCTGACCATGCTTAATTCCATCCTTCTCTTTTTCTTAATTAAAAAAAATAAAAATAAAAATAAAAATAAAAATGGCCTTCCACTCTATTCATCCTATGCCTTCAATTTCTTCGTAGAAGCCTCAGACACCTCACCATCTCTCTGCCGTTTCTTCACAGTCTTCATAGCTGTTGCAGAAGCAGCAATATCATAACCACTTTCAACCTTTTCCTTGTCAGACCTTTTCTTTTTCCTACTAGAGTTATCATCATCTCCACCAATCTGAACATTTTTCTTATTTTTCTGCTTTGCTTTTTTTGCGTTTCTCTTAGAGCCATGCATGCTCAGAAATGGTGCACCAGAACCTAGGGATTGGTCAATTTCTTTTCTCACTTCCTTTACAGCTTTTGGATTTGATATATTACTTGAAGTGTCAGCAAGAAAGTCGTCATTTTTGGTTGACTTAGCATCACTGGAGCCAAACGTAGCATAAAAATCTTTATAAGTAGATTCTTTGGATGTCTGTTTTGACCTCCAATGATGAGGATTGGCAGCAAATCTGTTGCAATAAAGCAAAGGCATAAATCATGAAAATTGATTTCAATAAACTCGGATCTAAAAGCAAACAACATTCAATACTACAACGTTCCATCATATGTCAGACTCTAAATTCATAAGCTTTGAGGTGTGAACAGAAAAAACTTGTATCCTACAATATGATCTTGTTTCTATGAAATTTGATTTATGCACTCTGCATTTAGAGAACAGGGAGATAATTTTTATTTTTTTTCCTTGACGGAAAGTATAAATCTGGACATTCCACTATATAGTAAATAGCCAACAGCATACCCGTCAACATCTAGTTTCCTTGATAAGTAAGAGCCCTGCTTTGTCTTGGAAAGCTCACTTCGCACAGCCAGCACCTCAGACACTATAGCCTCTCTTAGTGACAGATTACAGGCAGTGAAGCACTTTTCAATGGTAAAAGCACCTGATGAGTTGAGTGCAAGCTCTCCAAAATGCCTTCGTAGTCTACAAAATAAATTACAAAAGACGAAAAGGGAACAAATAAAGTCATAATAAAGACACTCAATATAGTAATGATTTTGAAATCCATTACATACACATTTCATGGTATTTTCAGCTTGAAGTCTTGAAAAACTTAATTTTGGAATTTAACCCGTTCTCAACTTTGGAAAATATCTCAATAGCTATTTCTATCCATTTAGTTATAGTCAAAAGAAAGCATATCCAAAGGATCCTAAACCGCAAGGGGTCTCAAATTTTAACTCTTAATTAAAAAAATCAGATTTCAACCAAACAATTGCTGTCATCTCATGTGCATGAATCTATGATCCTAAACTTGAACATGAATCCCATAAAGTTAGAAGACATATTGATGAAAGAGTTGGCGTTCAATATAGAAATACAATACCTTAATCTAAAAAACATGTTTATTGCATTCATACCTTTAGCATAAATAAGAATTTCTAAGAGATCCCAGAGAATATAAATACAAGAAATATAGTTGAAAGACATACTTTGTAACTAATTTGCATTTCTGTTTCCCAGAAGCACCTGAACATAGAAAAGCCTCAATAACATGCGATCCTCTTGCATCTCTCACTGCTTCAAGCACATGAGCTACTTCCATGGATGTTATACTGGTGATATAAGGTTGTATATATTCCTGCAAAAGTGAAACGCACGACAACAAAAGGAAGCAAATGAAATACAATTTTTTAATGCATACATGAGATAAACATATCTACAAAGAATTTCCGTTTTAAAAACACGACGTGTTTAAATAATGGGATTAATGTTTCTCATGTTGTAGGAGACAATTTTATCTCCTACGCACACAAAAGTATATAGAGCCCATGTTTTTCTCTCTCTCTCTCTCTTCTCTTCTCATGGGCTCCACACACTTTTATGTGTGTGTAAGAGATAATTTTATTTCCTACAACATGAGAAATATTAATCCCTTAAATAATATAATAAAGATTATCAATTTATGGCATAGAGTTTCCATTGACTCCCACAGCAAGTTCACCACACTACACTACCAGACATCTGAATGTGCATTACTATCTCGAGCTAAAAAGCTCATGAGGATCAAATCACCCCTATTCTGGGAGAACCCTGGCCCCAACCCCCCAAACATTAATCTTCCAAAACCCTACCAAGATAATGGATGATACATCACTTGAAGCTCATCATGATTTTCATAATTTATGATAATGGATGAAGATTTTTCTTCACGAACCACAAAGGCCAGATCTGCACCTAAGGATTAAGTTTAACTGCAAAGCTATAACCTACAAAACATTGTGCTAAGCCACATTAAAAGATTCCAACAAAATGGAAAAGTCAAACATTCTTCTTCTATTTTTAGTTTAAATACAGGAATTAGACTTTACTGAAGATCCATATTAATGCCACTATAGGAAGTAGTGACCATTCATATTTAGTATAATTTGTTATTTTCCTGCAGTTCTAGGGGCAAGACTGGTGAGTCCAAATCTCTAATATGGCAGTTGCAAGTCTTATTAGGGTCTTAGAAATGCTTCAAGACCAGCTTGTTTCTTGCTTGAAGCTTCTATCTCTGGGCCTCATGGGAAGTCTCTAAGAAAGGAATTAAAACAACAATGAAAGACAAATTATACATAACAATGCCCTAACCCCAAGAAAAATCAGGTCTACAGGGTTGAAAGATTTCCTATCAAGTTAGGAATCCAATAGTTCCTGTGGTTACACCTAGGCGCATTAACAGATGTGTGCACAACCCCCTTCTAACCTTTTTTCAATTGACACCAAAAATAAAGCAGCCAAAGTATCCATATTCAAGAAAGTTGCTTACACTTCTAAACCGGAATATTGCCTGCAGGATCAGAGAACCCATTACATGCATTTTAGCACCACTTTGCCAGCTCCAATTGGACTTATCTTCACAAGTGAAATAGCTATCAAGGAACAGTAGTCGAGGAACAATCCATTTTGGAGATTCATCAGCTAAACACACTGTTTCAGCAAGAACTTTACAGCACTGCACAAAGTAACAAAATTGCCATTAAAGTTTTCAGAGATGAGAAACAAAATTAAGAAAGTAAAGTAACTTCATTATGTAATGCAAGTAATACCATATACATTTCAATTTTGATGCAATCATTGCAGACTTGTAGTTAGGTTTTAGAAGCAATAAATTAATTCATAATCTCCTTCACATAAGTACATAGAAATCCGCTCACCACAGATACTGCAACTAAAGTACAAACCTTATGTTCATTAATGTGAAGCCTTTCACTCGCAGCAATGAGTGAAGCAACAACTCCTGACCTTCCCATTTTTAAAAGATCCTCCATATTTGGCCCAAGTTCTTCCCAGATTAAATCCATCTATCAAACAATTAAAAAACTTAAAATAAACATGGGGAGAAAAATCTACAAAGAGAAAATTATAACACGAACGGGCATCATGAAAAGAATATGAAGAATATGCTAGAGACAAATGCATTACATGCAATATCATGCAACCAATCCTACAGTAGATTAAATTAATCAGGGCCACCTTTAAAAAGATGTGGAAAATGTTCAAGACAAAAAATCAACTAGGTATAATACCAGATTTTGATTGCTTGCATGGGAAATCAATGCTTGAACAACAAAGTTCCCATGTTGATGAGATGATAACTCAAACAAGGAATTCCTGAATAATTTTGTGAACAATTCATTGAACAAAGCATCAGGCGATACTTCCAAAACAGCCTGCAAAAGATTTAGAAAATTTGATTACCTCAAAATCACCCTAGAAAAATAATTTCAATGATGCTTCCATAAAAAAATGCACACGCATAAAATTGTTTGGTATTTAATGGCACATGAAAATAGACACCACACAAGGTTGTATAAAGTATCATAGAACAATTTACAAACCCATGTTCAGACCACAGTCAACCAAGAGACATTGTTTAGGGACTAACAAATCTCATCAATAATACATGATTAAATATAGTTACTTGCAATACCAAAATTTCTTGAGATTATACCTGGGACAGGGTTAGTTTGAAAAGTGAAAACAAATAATAATAGTTTGCTTTTATATTGAAAATTTATAGCAAAAATTCACATTTACTATAGAAACTTTGAAAGGAACATATGAAACTTCTATTCGAAACATAATCTTAATAATAAGAAGTAGGCAAATACATGTAGCTTCTATTGAACTTCTCTCTGCATTATTCACAAGTTCTTGCACTACTCTAGCTAATTATAGACAGCTTTTCCTCATCTATAGGTTGCTCACCTCCATTAGATGGCAAAATTCACTTTCTTTTAACAAATTCAGGAGCGCCGGCACTATCGTAGTTGCTATATAATTGCCCTCTGCATTATTCTTATCTGTGCAGCCAAGAAGGATAGGAATAATGCGCAACAACTCTTCATTATTGCCTGCCAGCACCCTTAGAGTTGTCTGCCATTAATTAAAGAAAATCAAGTGAGATAAGAGGAATCAAAGAGAAAAACTAAAACTAACAGTAAGCACACTATGGCACCAAAAAAAATATTATAACCAAAGTAGGTAACAAAGTTAAGAATGAATTGGAAACTCTTTAGAGTATCATAGAGTTCTAAAGCAAGTAGATCCAAAGAAATTTCTCAAAAGAAGGCTATATCTCACAGAAGCTTCATCATATTATCAACACCACTAAAGAAGTTATCTGAACCTAGTCGCTTAGACAATATAAAACACCACGCATGCTCCCCACTCTCAACCAAAACAAGAAAAATTAAAATTTCAAAATTTAAAAAGAGAATTCCCTTCCCGCATTTCAGCCAGAAGAACGCAAATAGACTGGCCCCTAACCTGATAGCAAAAAGAGCCATAACCAAGCATGATGGTATATATGTATTTATTTAATCCATAAAAAATAACTATACATATCAGGAAAGCATGCCTGAAAAACCAAACTGCTGAATCGGTCAACTTGTAGGGTCTTGATACATTTTGTAGCATGCTTTATCATCTCTGACACAAGTAAATTCAGTAAATTTGGAAATCCAGACTGAAAATTTGTTGCATCATGTATCTTCGAAGGAAACTCCTTCATATTCAATCGCTCTGCTAGCACTGTTGCTGATTTTGAAAAATAGTACCCGGACTGATCTAACGGTACTCCTTTACAAAGGCAAAGAAGAGTCCGAAGCACATGAGAACCATAGCAGTTACGCATTACATCAACAGAATTAGCAGCAATCACCTGCCAAATGAAAAGCTTAAGTATAAGAATTCACATTTACAGCGGAACAGCTTACATAGGCCGTGTTTTTCTCTTGTCTTGGCATCATTTTATCTGTAAATATCTCAAGACACAATATGATATGATTCAAAAAATTTATGCCCAACATCAACTATCTATTTTGGTAATTAACACTCAAGCCTACGTCTATATGTTCAATTCAATTCAATACATTAAAGCGAGAAATTGATTAGCCAAGAAGCACGGAATAGTATTTGACAGCCAATATAAATACTGATTTGCATGTGTTTAACAAGCATGAAAATGAAATGCAGTAATTTACACCTTGCATATCATGGTTAATGCCCCCTCAACCAGAGGGTGAACGTCCTCGTATTGAAGATGAACAGATAAAGACTTGATGGCTGTCTCGGCTACATGAGAACCAGATCTATCCATTGCAATAAAGGGGAAGTCATTGGCACAACTTTGAAGGAAAGCACAAAGGTGGTCAACATCACAGCCCTGAAGGATGGTTTCCAAAGTGTGGCTGAGAATATAATCAGTTGCAATTTCAAATTCTCTTCCCCTAGTTTCTTCGAGAGCATTAGCACATAAAACTGATCGTTCCTCCAATTCAACTCCATCGCTTTCGAAAAGATTGGCAATTTCAGAGAAGTATTTTGTTGTTTCGGGATCAACCTGTTTCCTACACATATTAAGAGTACGTTTGGTTGGGCAATTTGGAGGTAAAGACAAATAATAAAGTAGAAGGAAGACAAAGCAAGGAAACGAGTAGAATACCTAACACGCGATGGTGAAGTGAAGAAGGTGTTTGTGTCTTTGAGAGTTGAAGGTTTATTGGAATGATAGGTATGGGAGCCAACACCCCCTTTGTTTGGCTTCCTGCTCATTCCCTTGTTACTTCTTCTACTACCATGTTTGTAGGATTCATAGTCCATTGAAGTTGTTGATGCTAATGCTTTTGAACCAACCGAAACCATAAGCACCCTGTGACTGTGAGTCTATGTTAATAAGCAGAGAGTAGTACAAAAAAACTCACTGTTATTGAAAACAAGGAGCGACTGACTGCACAAACTACGTAAAAAGCTGCTTCTCTCGGGGGGAAGAAGGAGAGGACGGACTATCAATTATCAAATATCAAACGCACCGCTTTAACCATTACCAAAACCTATCTTCTCTTCAAAACTCCAAAACCCTTTTTCTTATTTGTTCAAAAAAGGAAATAATTAAAAATAAAAATACCCGGCTCATTGGGCCCTTTAGAGCAATTTCTTTTAAAATAATAAAATAAAATTGCGCAATTCATTTTACTGTTTTAGTACCATCACTTGTCATTTCATTTTATAAAGAAATAAAATAAAATAGTTTTTTCATTAATTCTAATTAATTTCACATATCTTTAATTTATTCATCTAGTAATTTTTACTGTTAAATAATTTTAATATTATTATTAATTCATTAATTTTAAAATTAAAATGCATAACTTTTTTCATTCTTTTGTTTTTTTTTTCTTTGACATAAGAATGGATTTTCTCTTCATGTAATCAAGTTAAAATTTTGTGTCTATTTAATTGGACTCGATTTATTTAATGTCAATCGAAAGAGATAAATATAAAATTTCAGTAGTGTTAGATTTTCGATGAGGGAGGATGGAAGGAATGAAATGATCCTTTTAAATTAACTTATTTTGTGTTAAGAAAATTTATAGTCTCGAAAATAAATAAATATTTATATAAAATATTTGTTTGTATAATATATATTTATAATTTCTTATAAAATAAAAAAATTATAAAATACTTATGTCAACTTATTCAACTCAATAAAATTTATATAAGAGATGAGAATGTGAAGAAAATATTATTTTAAAAAAAAATTACCACTTTCTCCCTCTTCTCAAATTATCAATATCCCTTATTTGACCCAAATTTGATGAAATTTTAATTCTTGGTAAATCATACACGTGAATAAATAGCTTATCTATTAGGCTATCAAAAAAAAAAAATAGCTTATCTATCCAAGTAAATATTGGTCAAATTTTGGTTACAATAAAGATATATTAATATATAATTTGAGAATAAAAGTATATAGAAAGAAGCAAGGTGATAAATTTATTCTAAAATAAGCGCAAAATCATCCATCAACCGAGTATTATCATTTCTCTCTTAAAACACAATTCATGATGTAAAACGCGGAAATATTGCTTCTTTAAGGGAGAGATGCATAAAACGCCAAAATCTGCATCAGCTAACTCTTGTGCTCTCGACGTTGTTGTGCAAAGGGGTGATTTGGAATTGGAGCAAAGCAACATTTAATAACTTCGAATTTTACATTTAGGGTGACTTGTTATTTGAATTTGATTGGTTGGCTAAGCCTTGGTAGGGAAGAGAAGCCAATAGGCATATTTAATGTTTCTGTGGGAGACTCTGAGAATCGCGACACAGTTCCTCAGGTTAGTTTCTGGATTGGAATTTTCAACTATGCTGTTCTAAACCTTAGGGCTTAGGAAATAGCAAAAACTTCAATTTTCCATTTTGGTGTTGGGATTGGGGTTAGGGATTGTTGTGGAACAGAATGACGGGTCTAACAAGCTCAGCCTCAAGTGCTCAACCCACGAACATACAAATAAGTCAGTCTCTCACGAGGAAGTACAAATAAAATTAGCAATCTATTGGGCCCTTCTTTCACTTTTCTTTTGACTCCCTCAATCTCATAATGTATTGCAGAAGCAACTTCACTTCCTCTAAAGGGCCTCAACTTCACGTCCATGTCTCCGTATATTTACAGCGATTTATAAGAGTTATATTGTAGAAAAAGTGATTGTATAATGTTATAGAGATTCGTTTTGCGTGCCTTAATTTTTTATTTATTTATTTTTTTTAAAAAGTGTGGACCTCACAAAATGTTGTGAGTGTAGGAAAGTTTGTTGTGTTATGTTAAAGGATAAAACGAAAACTCATATTTATAATGAAGTCCTGGGATAAATTAAAGGTTATAAGCGTTATTCTTCATCTCTATTGTCTACTTTCAATTTAATAGGAGATTCACTCATTCACATTGTTTTAAAATTTTCTTTCCTATAAAGATACAGTAATTATATAAGGGATTAGTGTTTTTAGGAGATAATTTTATCTCTTATATACACATAAAAATATATGGAGCTCATATTTTATTTTTCTCTTACATGACCTCACACACTTTTATATTTGTGTAAGAGATAAATAATCTCGTATAACATGATAAATATTAATTTCATTATATAAAAAGGATTAATATTTTTAATGTTATAAGAGATGATTGTATCTCCTACACACAAAAGTGTGTGTTAGACTTATATGGAGTCGTGTGAAAAGAATTAAAAAGGAAGAAAATATAGATCTATATATTTTTATGTATGTGTAGAAAATAAAATTATCTCCTATAATATAAAATATATTGATCCCTTATATAAACAAAATAAGTACAAACTAAAATCATAGTAAAATAAAAATAGAAAATCATAACAGGCAGTCCTTAGATATATGAACCGGACATTGGGCTCGTGCTCCTATCATATTTGTTTTATATTTTTTTCTTCCCATTGTATTCTGGCATGGCATCTATGCAAAATCTTAACCCGTTCTAAAATATCTACATTTATAAATTTCCTTGCCGACACTTGAGTGATGATGTCAATATGAGGTCGCAATCACGACGCGCGCTGGCCATTCATCTCGTTGTAGCTGTGGAGCCATGATAAGTACATGTTCCTGAAAAGTGAAAAACCGGAAAGTAGCGGTATTTATTAGCTGATTCAAACCGCAATAACTGAATTGAAAAATCGATAATGGAATAAATTGAAAAATGAAAATTAAAAAAAATCACAAATTTTAATTGGATTGGATTAGTTTTCGGATTTGTTGATAAAAATTGATACAATATATTAATTTTCATCTATCTACTTGGGCATTTTCCCAATCATAGCCCACAAATTTCTAAACCCAATACCTATTAATCCATCAACTAAATCCAATAAAGAACCTAGTCACATCTCATTAACAAAATTTCATATATGTAGAGTTTCATATTTCATTGCCAAAATTAAAATTATATTATCGTTTACTAATCCTTTTGTATTTCAATTTATTTATTTTTACAAAGCCAAATTTTAAGATTTTCAAAAAATCAAAAACCGATCCAATCCAAATCGAAAAAATTGGATTGGATCGGGTCGGGTCGGATTTGAAAAAAAATTCAAACCGAATGAATGATTACATGATTAAACCGAAGGGATTGGATCAGATGATTTTTGCTTTCAAAATCGATCTAATCCAGACCACAAACACCCCTACTCGGCAGTCTAAGTGAATAATTGATAGGAACACTGATCAGATTGTCACACTTGTGGCATTTTTATACCAATGTATCATGTCAACAATATTATTTTTCAATATACTATGCGTCCAAGTTTGTTGAAGTAGCAGCAAATTTGGTTTACTGATATGGTGTGTTTTTTATGATCACCAAGTTTGCTATAGTTTGTAGATAACTAAGTGGCAATTAATGCCACCTTCCTATCCACCTGTCATGCCACGTGGCAGACTCCGAAAATTCGTTGCCCATGCCAGCGAACTACGTCCAAGTCCAACGATAATTAACAAAGTAGCACATGTCTGACATGGACAAATTCGCAGGGGTAGATAACGAGCTTGGTCCAACGGCTGAACAAATGAACTCAGGTCACATATACAAGCAAACTATTGATTCACTCGGTATACCAAATTCGATATATCTGTAAGAAATCGCACCGTTAATTAAGGAAATTAATCAGTTAATTACGAGTTTAATGAGATAATTTCATAATTGACCCTAATAATTATTCTAAGGCTCTAATAATTATAGTAAGTGAGTAATAATGTTGAAAGTCGCTTTTCTGACGAAAAATGCAGATACTGGTTCTGCTAGTCGGTATAAATGCGTACCGAAAAAGTATCCCGGAAAATTATAATAAGTGCATGATAATTCTTAGAATAATATATAGGACTTGTAAAACGAGTTTCAAGTTAAAATAATGAGAACTGGTGCCAGGAACTGGTATTGGCTATGAAAAGTGCGTACCAGAAAGGTGCTCCGAAAAATATAAGAAAAATATGATAATTCTGGTAAAATTGAGTAGGTTAAGAATCCTGAGTTTGTAATTAAAATGCTAAGCGTAGAAATTAAAGTTAATACTGTGTATTTTATTCTTAAGTGGCTACATATACTTAAATGGCACATGATCCCTGGTCTGAATTGCCATCCTACGTGCCTCTTTTTGCTGAAACACCTCCAGCCACCCTTTGCCACCTTCTCCTCCATTGTTGTGAGCCAAGGAGCTTCATTTCTACTTGGTTTCTTCTCCAAAATACCTTGGGCTTGTGAGAGATTGCATGGTGGGGGAGTGTGAGTGTACATTCTCAGTTCCAGCCACTGTGTGTGGGTGAGGGTGCTGACCTTGTGAGGTTTGGGTGTTGAGAAGCCCTGGTCATGGAATTTGGAGGTCCAAGTAGTGACCTTTGAGTTGAAAGAACCAACATTTGGTGGAGCATTTTCGTTTTGGGACCAAGTCAGAACCTTTGGAGTTGGTTGTGAGCTCCAAGAGCCTTCCATTTATGAGTTTGAAGCTTTGGTGAGTTGCCTAACCTTGATCGTGAGTTTAAATGATTTAAAAGTGGTGTCTTTGCATGTAAATGGGTTAAGCAAGTAACTAACATGTGTATGAACCTGTATAGACCTAAAAAAGGAGTATTGAACGCTTTTATTTGGTAAAAGTTGGACCTTTGGTGGATATCTTCGTGAAATGCATAAACTGCATTCTGTCGCGAAATATCCGGATATTTGGTCGATAAATATCCGGATATTGATATCCGGATATGGGGATCTGGATATCCGGATATTGATATCCGGATATTGCCAGTGAGATATCTGGATATTGATATCCGAATATGCCCCCGGCATATATCCGGATATTCTGGGATTTCGAGGAACAGTAAGGTATTGTTCGTACATAACTGAGCTATGGGTTTGTGGACCCTATTTTGATGGAGTTGAACTTCTGTAAATACT